AAAATGCACAGCTGTATTCCCTACCCTCTCAAACAGACAGATATTTATGAAATATATTGGGGGCTGGAGAGATGGCTCAGTGGTTAAGCACATAGGCTACTCTTGCAGAGAACTCTGTTTCAATTCCCAGCACCCACATGGTAGCTAACAACCATCCCAACTCCAGTTCCAGGGGATCTATCACCCTCTTCTGGCCTCCATGGACACTGCACGACAGAGGTACACTTATATACATGTAGGCAAAACATTCATTCATACACATCAAAAAATTAATCATCACATTAAAAAAAAATATTTAAGTATGAAGTTTCATCTGGATGAAGTGCCCCAGAGGAAAGCAGAAAGAATAGATGGTTAAACTCAGAGTTTAAAGAAGAGGGAAGAAGAAAGGACTGAGCATCCAGGCTGCAGAAATGAGTATCTGCCAAGTCCCAAGGCAGAAAGAAACTTCGTGAGGACTGGAGTAGCAGAAAGGAGTAAGGTAGGTAGAACGAGTGCAAGCAACAAGCTGAGGAGAAGGAAGACACCAGAGATCAGGGCCTTGGAGAACCTGGGGTTTGATTCCCAAGATGGAATGCAGACCCTTTGCCCATCCATCCATCTGCCAGTCCATCCATCCATCCCTCCATCCATCCATCCATCCATGTGTAATCTTCTAGGCCAATCCCTAGTGACCTACTTCTGCTCCATATCCCGAAAGTTTTACAGCTTCCTAAAATAGCATCACCAGGTGGGGACCAAGCATCCAAACACATGAGCCTGTGGGAGATATTTCATGATGAAACCACAGCATTCCATCCTTGTCCTTGTAGACTTGTGGGCATTTCACAGTGCAAAATACATTTAGCCCCCCACAGCCTTAACAGTTCGACGTTGTTCAAAAGTCTAAAGTCTACTCTGAAACCCAAGGCAAAGTCTTAGTTGTGAGCACTAGTAAAATAAAAACCGAGTTGCATACTTCCAATACAAAATAGCAAAGAGCAAACATTACCATTCCAAAAGGAAGAATGTAGGCACAGAAAGGAGCTATGGCATCAAGTCTGTGAGCCAGCAAGGCAAAGAGTAAACCCTGCACCTCCAAGGGTGGCATCCAGGCGGTGGTGACATCACCTGACCTCCAGTAGGCTTGGGCAACTCTGTCTCTGTGGCTCTGCTGCCTGCAGGATACGGGTCTCTCTCTCTCTCTCTCTCTCTCTCTCTCTCTCTCTCTCTCTCTCGCCATAGCCACATGGTACCTGCAGCTGTTATCTCTTATATCCTGGGGTCTCCATTACAACTGGGGCTTCACCCTCACAGCTTCACACTAGCCCATGCCAGAACTTCCTACAGGGAATTTAACCATTGCCTGGCTTTCCAGGGTTTCTCTGCAGACTTCTTATAAGCCTCCATGACCCCATAATTCTTACATTCTGCATGCCTGCAGATTCCGCTTCACATAGATGGCATCAACTGCTGCTGCCAGGGCAAAATATCACCAGGCTCCTTTGAACCATGGCTGCAGCAGGCTCTGAGTGTTTGAGTGGCTGAACTAGGGGAAAATACTTTCCTGTTGAAGCAGGGAACTTGAAGACTTTTTGTTTAGACATTCTCTTTTCAGGCCTTCTGATTTAAATGAAAGTCTTTGAAATGAGGTTGCCCTGGGGCCCTTAGTGAGAAGGGCTCACTCTCAAGGCACCCTTCCTATCCTCTCTGGCAAGTCATGTGGTTTCCCTTTAATTGCACTAATCTTTTTAAAAACTGTCACTACTTTGTTGCAATGTTTGCTTTATCTGCAACTTTAAACTCATTCACACTTCCTTCTTCAAATTGCATGTTTTCCAAATCTTCATGCCCCCAACTCTTTGCTCTGGATTTTTACTGTAAGTCTGGCAAAAAGTGAGGACCAGTAATCTTGCCACCACTGAAATGCTATTCTGTCTCAAAATTACTGTGCTAAATTATATAGTTCACCATTTTTTAACTCAAATTTTCAGAACCTGGACAAAATATACTCAGATTCTTTGTCTGAATGTAACATGAACAGTTTCTAACACAGTTCCCAGTAGAGCCCTTGCTCCCATCTGAAACCTCATGAAAGAAGTCTTCACTGTCCACATTCTTATCAGTATTCCAGTCTTTTGAACTCCTACCAGAATGACCCATTCAGCTCTTTGTATTGGACAGTTTCAGTTGTCAACTTGACACACATGGGAAGAGGGAACCTCAATTGAAGAATTTGTACTCTCAGATTGGCCTGTGGACATGTCTATGAGGCATTTTCTTCATTGTTGAGTGATGTGAGACAGCCCAGCCCACAGTAGGTGGTGCCCCCCCACCCCCACCACCACCAGGCAGGTTGTCTTCAGTTGTTTAAGAAAGCAGGCTGAGCACAGGCCAGAAGAATGAACCAGTAAGAAACATTCGTCCATGGTCTCCATTTCCTGCCTTCAGACTTCTGACTCTAGTTCCTACCTTGGTTTCCCCTCAATGATGTACTGAACCTGTAAGCCAGATAAACCCTTTTCTCACTATATTAGTGATTTTTCTGTGCTGTGATAAAACACCATGACCTAGCCCACTTATAGAAGGAAGAGTCTATCTGGCTTACACTTCCAGTGGGGAAGAGTCCATAATGGCATGGGAAGCATGGTGGCAGGCAGAAGTGAGCAAGCTATATATTCTCAAAGCCTGCCCCTAATGATGTGCTACATCCAGCATGGTCACACCTCCTAAAAGTTCCATAACCTTCCCCAAACAGGGCTACAAACTGGGGACTAATTGTCCAACTACTGAGTGCCTATGGGGGACACTTATTCAAACCACCACACTCCCCAAGTTGATTTTGGCCAGTGTTTTATCACAGCAGTAGAACGTAAGGAGGACACTCATAGCATTTTAGGGCTTCTTTAGTCTATGGCCCCTCTTATAACCTGGTTCCATACCATGTGGTCAGGTTTAATCATAGCCACAATGTCATTTTATTGAAATCAATTTTCTATATTAGGTACTTTTCCCATCACTGTGATTGAATACTTAAAACAATTTAGGAAAATTTTATTTTGGATTACAGTTTCAGGGAGAAGACAGCTGCCATGACAGGGAAGACTTTTGCAGAGGGAGCAGTTCCATCCTTAGTAGTGGGAGCACGCAGAGACAGCTCCTCCGTTGTGGTAGACCAGGAAGCAGAGAGAGCTAGACCAGAACAAGAGGCAGATATAACCTTCAAGTCTCACAACTAACTTTCACCAGTTTGGGGCCAGTTTTCACCATGACCCACTTTCACCAGGTAGAGACCCATGTCCCTGAAGTTCCATAACCTTTCCAAATAGCACCACCAGCTGAGGTGGTGGACCTCAAGCACAGGAGCCCCGGGGATGCTGCACATTCATGCCATAACTCCCCAGTCACGTTTATATGAAAATGCATCCTCTGTTCATAACGAGCACCTGAGGCTAAAATGGGAACACTCACAGGAACTGTGGGTAATGATGCCATATTGTGCTCTTCCTTGGGCTGCATGATCTGGCCACATTCTGGGTAGAGTCACAGGCTACCCTGGTAATCAATTCAATTTAATTCCATCCCAATTTATCTTCTCTCAGGTTGGCCATGCTCAGTTCAGCTTTACTCAGCTCAATCCATCCATGTTCTCAACAAGTCTTCAAAGTACTTTTCTATGTCTCTGTCTATATTGGGTCTGGGAACCAGCTGGGCTTGCTTCCTCTGATGGACTCATCACAGTGTTCCAACCTAAATGGTACCAGTGTATCATGGTGAGGTGAAGCCTGGGCTTAGAGCAGGACTGCCTGATGTTTGCTGCTTCATTTTGCTGCTTACTTACTGCCTTGGACAATATTCTTGAGCCCTCTGAATCAAAGTTTCTTCACCTGAAAAGCAAGAATAACAATCTCTACCCTGTGGGGCATTTCTCAGAATTACATTCACAGACAGCACTCAGAAATGCTTTCCATGGAACTGGAGAGATGGCTGCGTGGTTAAGAGCTGGCTGCCCTTATAAAGGACCTGATTCAGTTCTCAGCACCCACACGGTGGCTGACAACTACATGTAACGTCAGTTCCAGGGGATCTGATACCCTCTTTTGCCTCCATGGACAGTGCATGCACTTGGAGCACTTGCATACATTCAGGCAAAACACTTATACACATGAAATAAAAAGAAAAAAATCTTTTTTATAAAAGTACTATCCACTAAATCTCCTTGCTTTTAAGCCACCCTCTTCCTAAAGGAAAGACTAAATGAAGGGATCAACGTTCACCCTGATACCTGAGAAGACAGAACTCACTAGTGAACTAGAGAGAGGTGCTCACCCTCACTTTGCCCTAGTACTCTGTGCTCCTCAGTGGTACATTTTCATAACTTCATTGAATTTTTCTTTGGGGAAATAGCTTTGATATTTACACAGGTTACTTTATTGCATCCTTGGACTCTCAGCCTGATCCTTGATCTGTGCTCAGAATCGGGACCTGTGACTTAGCATGGCATTTCACTTGGTGATGGGCCAGTCCTCCATTACCCACCCATCTCCTTACAAGCAGGGAGAAGATACAGGGAATGGAGGGAACAGTGGCTGCCTGCTCAGCCCACCAATCTAGAGAAACCCTGTAGAGGCACAGTTAGTGACAGCCTACAGTACCAATGGCAGAACAGCAGGAAAAAAGAGGGGGAATGAACAGCCAGACACATAAGAAAGTGAAGCTGTACGGTGGGTCCCCCAGTTAGAGACATATGCTCTTCCTTCCACACCCTAGACTACCACATCATTCTGTGTCAGCCCAGACACCAAGGTGCCAACTCAGGTAGCAAAGCAAATAGGCACCCAAGCTACAGGATGCTATCACACTGCCCTCAAATTCCCTAAACGTGGGGGAGGGAGGGCTCTCCTCTCTTCCCTCATTGTTTCTCACACGTGGTTAAAATCAGAACCAGGTTTCTTTTCTTAGAAGACTGCCCTCCACCCACATGCTGTGGGTTGTCACCCATATTTCCTCTCTGCTCTTAGGTTCTCAATGGTCTCAGATGCAGAAACTGAAAGCATTTTCATGGAACCAATTCACCTCTCCTCAGCCATTGCTGCCAAACAGATCATCAATGAAGGTAAGACGACTGACATGTGAGTGGGGACAGAGAAGGTCCAGCAGCCATCTGATGACATTGCAGGGGCACACTGGAAAGGGTGGGCATGCTTTTCCCTTACTACCCACCAACCTCAGAAAGGCAGATCTGACGAAAGTATTTCTGCCAAGCCCACCTCAACAACTCTAATGGAATGGCGTAGAAAAAAAGTATGCATCAATGCAAACAGTTCTCTAGTCCATGGGAGGAACTTCGGTTTATCCCTAGGGCTTCCCATTCAGGCTTTTGGTTAACTTCAAGGGTTGTGGATAGGGATGTTGGAGGCTTGTGGAAGACACAAACCTGAGAGATCAAAAACTGACTACAAACATCTAGAGAGTTTTGTTCAAAGAGATGCCTAGGTTTAGCTCTGTGCCCACTGTGCTTAAACATAATCTTCAAACCATGCTTAGAAGGTAATAAAGTGGGCTGGTGAGATAGCTCAGCAGGTAAGAGTACTTACCACCAAAGCCTGATGACTTGAGTTTGATCCCCAGAACCCACATGGAAAGAACCAATTCTCACAAGCTGTCCTCTGACCTCTGCACATGCGCCATGCTCCATGTGTACACACACACACACACATACACACACACACACACACACACAATAAATGTTAAAAAATTTTAAAGGTGATAAGGTGGGTTGGCATGGGAAAATTAGGGGAAAGTAGGGCAGACAATATACTATATTTCATTAGGGATACTCATCCTGATTGTATGTTGAGTGTTTTTTTCCTAGTAAGTTTGGACCAATCATTTCTCACAGTGTCACTCTCCCCATCTTCCTACCATCCCTCCAGGTGGCCTCCCACACTTCTGATGGGATTGAGTAGAACAAGGCAACACTCTTGGTGACAAAGGGCTCATGTAGCCTTTGGGTCACTCCAGATGTGGATGGTTGGAATTTAGGTTCATTTAGAGTTTGAATTTTCTGATGTATCATCAAGAAAGGCCCTTAGGTCCTGACTTGAGACAGGCTCAGTAGCTCATGGCAAACTTGTCAGCTGCTGGAGACCTAGGAGGCTGAGAATCATGGGCACTTAGACTTTAGAGCAGGAAAGCAGACAGCAAGTGAAATAACTAACTAAATGAATCTTAGAAGATAGTATTGTATACATGACTGCTGAAAGCTTCACTTTTCCCAGGAGTATTTGCATTCCAGATGTGATAGAGTGAACTATGTTATAAAAGAGCATCATTCATTCATTCATTCAAGTACTTCTGAGCATCGTCTTTGTACTGGGTACTGTGGGAGTCACAGGTATGAATAGTCATATCCTTAGTACTCAAGAACCTAGTACTCAAAGAACTGGATCCAGAAAGTTATCAAGCAGCTTTACAGACAAAGAAGTAAGAGAAACTAATTTTATTTCCCTTCCCCCCCACACCAGCTGCAGCAGATCCTGACTACCAGTGTCCAGGTTAATGCCATGGCCCCTGAGTCCTAATTAAGTCCTTGCTGGCAGATCCTGCTGGCATTCCATCCATGCCTAGTCTTGGCAGTACACTGAGTGACAACAAGCTCTCCTAAGGGGCTGGGAAGGCTATGGTGTTCCTAACTACTTGATGCAAACGTCACTTGTCCCCTCTAGAACTCAAGCCTCGAGGTCTCAGAACAGACAGAGAGTGTCCAGGCATGCTGGAGTCTGCTGAGCAGCTCCTGGTGGAAGACTTGTACAACCGTGTCAGGGAGAAGATGGATGACAGCAGCCTATACAACACCCCTTGTGTGCTGGACCTGCAGCGAGCACTGGTCCAGGACCGCCAAGAGGCCCCCCGGAACGAGGTGGATGAGGTCTGGCCCAACGTTTTCATAGCTGAGAAGTGAGTGTGACCCCTGAGAGACACATCCTTTTGCCTCTCTGGTTAATACCTGAGATGAAATTTCCTTAACTCACTAAAAGCCCTCGTAATCCCACCCATTGAATGGAGTTTGCCTGACTCCTTACCTGCCCTGACTTTGAAGACAGTCTTCCTATCAACCTGCACACAGAGGTACATGGCAAAATGAGCATGCACCCTCCACTCTCTCTCCAGAGTTCACCAGCACTGCCTTGCCCTTCCAGCCGCCTTCTCTGGTCCTTCCTCATACAAACTTGCCAACTCCACCGTCTCCATCATTGCACAACATCTCTGACAACAAGATAACATAACACCAGGAACAACTGATAATACTGATATGTACATATGTTTAACAATACCTGAAAATGTATGCAATATAGAAGAAGAAAAGTGGATTACAAAAGAATAGTGTAGGTGTAGAGTATGATGCTGGTTAGGTGATACAGATGTGTGTGTGTGTGTGTGTGTGTGTGTGTGTGTGTGTGTCTGTGTGTCTCTGTGTGTCTGTGTGTGTGTGTGGGTACACTTTCCTATAAACAACAGATTAGAAAGAAATGTGGCAGGATGTTAACAATACCTCTCTCTGAGAGGTAGTTTTATTTTACTCTCTTCTTTGGGTTTCTTTTGAACTATACAGGTTCCCTAGATATCTGTTATTTTTAAAATCAGAAAACTTTATTTTTTAGGTTGATCAGTGGTTCCTGGGCTGAAAACAAAAACAACTCTCACATTCTATTCCTTCCGGGTCTTGTCAGTGCATAATTAGTACCAGTAGGCTAATTTGTGAAATCAATTTTTGCTGATTCATTGACTACTTAATGAGATGTCTTCCCAATGTAATTACCCATATATCCAGAAGCAAGAAAGGAGGTTGGGGCCCTGTGGCAAGCACTATGGAAGATAGCTTTGAACACTGGGTCTCACTCTATCACGGAATGATCAGCTGCCCAGAACCTGATTTCTAGATCAAGTCCTATTCACGAGCCCTGCGGGTCTAGAGGCCTCATTCTGTGGTCACCAGATATCTCCAGAGAGCACCAGCTAATGGTTTCTGTGCTTTGATCAACCCTGTCCTCTGGGGCTCTTCAAATTGAACTCCATATTCAGAAACAAAAGAAGGAGCCCTGAACAGCAGCTCTTTCTGACTCCTTTCACGCCTCGAGTAAAAGCTCTTGAATTCATTTTTATACTCTTCATCTAGGAATAAAAGTAGCTGCTCTTTCTACCTCTTAAGTTTATTATAAGGATAAAATAAAACAATGTTGTGAAGGTATTTAGAAAATATAGCATGTGAATACCAGTATACCGAACATCTATTTTTTTCTGTCACTTTCATGCTTTAATGTATGTACATTCCTAAGGTGGGGCTTTAAACTAGAGGTTGTACAAGTATCCAAAAGTTTCCCTATATACCAATTTTATTCTCCTTTTCACCCTGCCCACCCTGACCAAGTCTCTTTCTCTTCTCTATCTTACTACAGCCCATCATCAGCCCCTCTTTATTAAAGGCATTAGCAGTGAGCCCCAGACCCCAAGAGGCACAGGAGGAAGCCCTAGCCCAGCTGCGTGCACCCCATCTCACTGGTAATATACCTTTCTAGTTCTCACTTTGGCAATCATGCTCCTGCTTCTTGCCCCAGGAGTGTGGCTGTGAACAAAGGACGGCTCAAGAGGCTGGGAATCACCCACATCCTGAATGCTGCACATGGCACTGGGGTTTACACAGGCCCCGAGTTCTACACTGGCCTGGAGATTCAGTACCTGGGTGTGGAGGTGGATGACTTCCCAGAAGTGGATATCTCCCAGCATTTCCGGAAGGCAGCTGAGTTTCTAGATGAATGCCTGCTGACCTACAGAGGTGAGAGGGCTGGGTGGGCTTCAGGCTGCTAGAATCACACCAACAAAGAAGCTGGGTGGGGAATGTTATGAAAATTTGCAGATTGTCTATAGCTGGCTGTTTCCTCTAAAAAGAAGAGAAAGGAAAGGATGAACATTCATCCAATAGATGGTTGGTAAGGCTGTTCTAGGCACTGTTGTGAATTGTACCCAGTACGTATAGTATGTCAAGGGAAGAGAAAATTCAAGAAGGAAGGCAGGGAGAAAACAAGATATACAGTAAAGATGAGAGGCACTTTGAGGTGATTTATGTCCTAGAAGTCAGTTCCTCTGCCTTGGAGAATAGATTGAATAGGAGGGAATAGAGCAGAGCTGGGCTACTACCATGGTCATTGTGGGAGGCATTATGACACTAGACTTCAGCATCCAGAGAGCCCAGGATTCTGCACACATCTCATGCACAGGCTTGAGCCGTGCCACTGGCCACAGCCAAGCAGTAAGAGCATAGGATTTGCTGTTCAGAGACCTGGCCTGGATTCAGGATTTACTGGCTTTACTACCATGTAGGTTTGGGCTGTTCTTATCTCAGGAAACTAGTGTCCATGTACTTAACAGTAAAAACATCTATGTTAATGTTGCTGTGAGGAATAAAAACTTGAAATGCATGTAAACAAAGTTTATTTAGCACACTACCTGCCACATAAGTTACTGCCATTATTATAATAAATGATGTTACTGATTCCTGGGAACAGCATTGCCTGCCACCACCAGGGACCAGGATTGGTAAATTCTAATTCCTAGGAAATATCTGGGAGAAGCTACTCAAGGCCATATATATTCAGGCCTAATCTCTACATATGAAAGAAATATTATCTCTGTGAGGACAACCTTCACAGCAATGTTAACTGTGCTGGATTTCTTGCCTCTCAGCTGGTCAGAGGCTTCAACTAGGGCTCATTTCCCTTCCTATGTTCCCTTAATTTCCTGTCTTTCTATCTTGCTTCCATAACAAATATATTTTCACTTCATTATGAAAGTTGCTCCCTGGAGTTGTGCCCAGTGCCTCTCCTCTGGTGCTATGGATCAAACCCAGGTCCTCCCAAATGCTAGGCAAACACTCTCCACTGAGCACTCCATCAATATGGACCCTGAACTTAACAGAGAAAAGAGAAAGTTTTGGCTTGTTGATCTGGTTGAAGTGAGTGGAGGCCCAGAGCCTACCTGGCCTCTCTCTTTGTCCCCCTAGCCCCAGGGGAACCCCAGACACAAAGAACAGAGCATAGATAGACTTGCCCCCACCCCAAACCTGACCTCTGCTAAACTGAGTCTAAATAGGATTTGATGCCCTTATGAGGAAGACTGGATGATAAGTCCTGAAGTGTCCTAAGTGAGCTGGCCTGTCAGAGGAAGAGTGTGAGATCTTGGTACTAATGACAGTAGGTTGTAACCTGGCCAGATAATTAAGAAAAAGTTCTTGGATAGGACAGGGCAGCACTGTGCTAGAGGTGAGAAGGGCTAAAATAGGGAATCTGCCTTTATTCTTTTGAGTCTGCTCTCTTACCTCCCTCTAGTGGCTGCTGACTCCTGGCAATAGCAGCATTACTGGGCCCTGGGTCCTCTCAAGTCGCAGTCTCTGACCTCCTGTGTGACAAAGACATGGCCTTACTGGTACAAAGATACAGTAATAAAAGACTCGCCCCCCATTCATATTATTAGATAACTCCTGCCGATTTAGCGAACATCTCCAAAGGCTGCTGGCAAATAGATTGATGGCAGCCAGGAAGAAGGTCTCCAGGGGTCTCAGCCTGCATTTTAAGCAGCCATTCGAATGAAGGCACTGACGGCGTGTCTGTCACATTTATGAAGGATGCAAAGCAGAAGGGGAGCTGGGGGACAACGCATCTGCTGAATGGTGTAGCCGAGATTTGAAAACGCTTCTGCATTCTGAAAGAACAGGTTACATAGACCAAAATTACCAGTGGGGATTTGTAAAGTTATCTTCATGCTTAAAAGATGCTACAAGATGAGAGACATGACTTAGTAGCAAGACTTTTAAAAAGTTTTATAGATTTAAATTAATGTAAAAGATGATTGCAGCTCATTGCTTTACCTATTCATCCACGTTGTAGACTTAGATGGATGCTTGGTTTGGCTGGTTTGTTGTTCCTCCAGGGCTTCCTGTTCTGAAAGTTAAGCCCTCTTTTTTTGAGGAATTAAGAGGGTGAAAACGATCCAACTATAGTGTCTGGAGAGAAGCCTTTGGGAAGTGATTAGGTTTAGATAAGGTCATTAGGGTGGCGCCCTCTCAGTTGAATCCTGGTAGCTTTTTAAGAAGAGGCAAAGAGATAAGAGCACATACATTTGTGGACTTCCTCTCTTACCTTGTGATGCTCTGCACTGAGTCAGGACTCTGCCAGGAGGAAGGCCATCACCAGATGAGGCCTATAGACGATGCACATAAGCCACAATGAATCATAAGCCACAATGAACTTAATTTTTTATAAAGTGGCCTGCTTCAGGTATTTCATTATGGTAGTAAAAGGTGACTAATACACTTTTTATGAGTGAAGGTTTTGTGTCCAGAACAAGAACGGTGAGGAAATGCACTGACTCTATGTAAACTTTCCAAGTTTGAAGTATCTTGTTCCACCTTGGAAACAAACTACTCAAAAACAAAAACAAACATGATAAATCCTTGTTTCAATTCAAAATTTGGAGGAGAGTAGCTAGAATGGCAAGATGCTGGAAAATCTCAGAATAGTCAGGAAAAATAAATAGGGATAAATACCACAGTGTTCTTCTTCAGGACTTTTGTATAAAGAGTCTGATTTATACAAATGAATTTGTTATTGGCTCCAGAATGCCAACGTAGGAACACTGGATGCCTAGTGCAGTAAGCTGTACTTTGCCCAAATATAGGAGAGAATTCTCTAAAGTTTAGAGGGATCCAGTATGGGGACTGGGGATTTAGCTCAGTGGTAGAGTGCTTGCCTAGCAAGCACAAGGCCCTGGGTTTGATCCTCAGCTCTGGAAAAAAAAGAAAAAGACAAAATAACAAAAAAGACCAAAAAAAAAAAAACAAAAAACAAGGCAACCAGAGGGATCCAGTATGAAGGGAGGTGGGTGTGTCTGTGGATCTTTGAGCAGGTGAGTTCTGCATCACAGGAAACACCCCACAGAGGCTGGGTCATAGTGACACAGCACTGAGGATGTTGGAAAGGGAAATCTCAAGCTCCTTCCCTCTGCCCTGTCTTTCCCCTCCCAAATACTTTTATTTCTCCCCTCTCTGATGAGAGAGAGTTTATGAGGAAAAGTTAGTGCTTCAAAAGTGGGCACAGTGGTGGTCCTCTGACATCTGTGATTATGGGATAATGATGCTCATTCTTGTGTGACTTGAACATGGATGACCTCCAGAATCAAAGCAAACACAGCAAGTCCAACACATCCAAACTGCACATTAGAAAAACGCCACAAGGAAGCCAAGTCGTGTCATTGTCTCTTGTGCTTTCTTTCTTTTCAGGGAAGGTCCTGGTCAGCAGTGAAATGGGCATCAGCAGGTCAGCCGTGTTCGTGGTGGCCTACCTGATGATCTTCCACAGCATGGCCATCCTGGAGGCCTTGATGACTGTGCGCAGGAAGCGGGCTATCTACCCCAATGATGGCTTCCTGAAACAGCTGCGGGAGCTGAATGAGAAGTTGATGGAGGAGAGGGAAGAGGAGTATGGTGAGGAGTCCGAGGAGGATGCTGGGAGCACAATGGGAGCTCAGGTGCATGAGCTAATGGTGGAAGAAGAGGATGATGCCACCAGCCACCTGAGTGCTTCTACCTTGGGGAAGGCCAGCCAGGCCTCCAAGCCTGTCACATTCACTGATGAAAAGGAGGAGAAGTTGTATGAGGAGTGGAGGAAGGGACAAGGCCTCTACAAGGGCAAGGCTGTGCAAGGTAGAGAGGGCAGCCGGTCCACCTCCTCTGCCCAGGAGGGGGACTACTGCGATGATGAGGATGTGGAAAGGATCATCCAGGAGTGGCAGACCCGAAATGAGAGGTATCAAGCCAAAGGGCACCAGCAATGGAGTCGGGAGGAAGTGGAGGAAGAAGATAGCAGCATCGGCTCCTATACGGGCAGAAGGCGCAGGCACACCTTGAGGGAGTACAGCACTTCAGAGAGCGTCAGCAGCCAGGACATCCGGATCCTGAAGCAGCAGTTGGAGAGGAGCAGCCAGAGTCGCACTGGAAGACACCGCTCAGACTCTGAGTCGTCGGAGAGCAGCTGGGATATGTGGAACGAGAGGCTGCTGGAGATTGAGAGGGAAGCTGCCCAGAAGTATCGCTCAAAGAGCAAGAGGGAGGAGATGGATGTGAACTCGGAGGCAGGGGGGGGTAGAGTCCGGGAGGACGATGAGGAGAGTGTGCTGTCCGAGGCCAGCTCCTTCTACAACTTCTGCAGCCGAAACAAAGACAAGCTCACAGCCCTGGAAAGGTGGAAGGTCAAGAGAATCCAATTTGGGTTTCACAAGAAAGACTCAGAGGTGGGAGATGGAAGCAGCGAGCATGGTACAGAGGAGGCAACAGGTGAGAAGAACCTCTCCGAGGTCAACCTGACAGCCTACCAGGCCTGGAAGCTAAAGCACCAGAAAAAGGTAGGCAGTGAGAACAAGGAGGAGGTGATGGAGTTGAGCAAGGGAGAGGATGCAGCCTTGGCCAAGAAGAGGCAGCGGAGGCTGGAGTTACTGGAGAGAAGCAGGCAGAATCTGGAAGAGAGCCAGTCCATGGCAAGCTGGGAGGCAGACAGCTCAGCTGCCAGCAGGAGCATCCCCCTGTCTGCATTCTGGTCTGCAGCTCCCTCGGTCAATGCAGATGGGGACACAGCATCAGTACTCAGCACCCAGAGCCACCACTCCCTCCTGTCTCAGACAGCAAGCAACACCCCTACCACACCCCTGCCTAACCTGCCAATGGGGCCTGGAGACACTATTTCCATTGCCAGTATCCAGAACTGGATTGCCAACGTAGTCAGTGAAACCCTTGCCCAGAAGCAAAATGAAATGCTCTTGCTGTCCCGCTCACCATCTGTTGTAAGCATTAAGGCAACCCCAGCAGCGGGCTGCCTGGGGGATGACCAGGTCTCCATGCTCAGTGCACAGAGCAACTCCTCCCTGGGCCTGCCTCCCAGCCAGGCAAGACCCAGCTCTGAAATTCAGTCTGTGCTGCCCTCTAACACCTCGGTGAGTTTGAGGGCTGAAGGCAGTGGGAGCAAAGTGAAGGGGACCAGCAAGCCCATCTACAGCCTCTTTGCTGACAACGTGAGCCTGAAGGAGCTGGACCGGAAGGAAAAGGAGATGCAAATGGAGCTGAAGGAGAAGATGTCAGAGTACAAAATGGAGAAGCTGGCCTCAGACAATAAACGCAGTTCTCTTTTCAAGAAGAAGAAGGTCAAGGATGATGAGGATGATGGCATAGGGGTCAGGGATGAGGACACAGACAGTGCCATTGGGAGCTTCCAATATTCCTCCCGAAGTCATTCCCAGAAGCCTGAAACAGATACCTCCTCCTCATCTCTGGCTGTCTCTGATCTCAGTAGAAATGGCAGCAGAGCTGGGAAAGAGACAGATAGCATTGATAAGTGGCTCAGTGGCCTCAGCACAGAAGAAAAACCTCCTCCTTTAAGTAATTGGTCTGGAAGCTCCAGGGGAAGATACACCAGATCTTCCCTGCTCCGGGAAACCGAGTCTAAATCCTGCAGTTACAAGTTCTCCAAATCCAAGTCAGAGGAACAGGACACCACCTTCCATGAAGCAGATGGTAGCTCTGTAAGAAGCACATCACGATTCTCGTCGTCCTCCACCAAAGAAGGCAGAGAGACACATAAGTTCTCCAGGTCCACATTCAGTGAGACCTCGAGCTCCCGAGAGGAGAGCCCAGAGCCCTACTTCTTCCGCCGGACCCCTGAGCCCTCAGAAAGGGACGAGTTCCCAGAACCTCAGCACCCAAACTGGACCAGGCCCAGGGACTGGGAAGATGTAGAAGAGTCATCCAAGTCAGACTTCTCTGAGTTCGGAGCCAAGAGGAAATTCACCCAGAGCTTCATGAGGTCTGAAGAGGAGGGAGAAAAAGAGAAGACAGAGAACAGAGAAGAGGGGAGGTTTGCATCTGGGCGGCAGTCCCAGTATCGGAGAAGCACAAATAGGGAGGAAGAGGAAGAAATGGATGATGAAGCCATCATTGCTGCTTGGAGACGCCGCCAAGAAGAAACCAGGACTAAGCTACAGAGGAGGAGGGAGGACTGAGCTGTGCCAGGCCCATGCTGGAGAGACTGGGGACACAGGAAGAAGCCATTTATTTAGCTTAGCACAGGCCTTGGGGGACACCTTGCCACCACCTGTCAAGGGAAGAGGAGGTGGACAGGATCTTCCAAAGGGGCAGAGCTGTAAATGCCCAAGCATAAAGGACCTGGAGGAACAGTGGGGAGGAAGAGTAGAGAAGAGCCATCAATGTAAAGCCCAAATGCTGGACCAACAGTCGCTATTTCTGTGACCCAAGGCCTTCTAAGCTTTGGTGTTTCCCTTCTGTATTTGAGAGTGTTCTCTGCAGACTGGAGATGAACCTGAAAAGCCAATGAAGGCTTCAGCCTACATCTAGGAAGACCATTTTGCAGGCCATGGTTCTGCCTGTTCAGGTTTTATAGTGAGACCCAGGAAATCTGTTCTGTAGAGAGTCTGACCTCTTCCAGCAATACTCAGCTGTGGTGGTTTCTTTTGAATGTTCTGGGTCTTCATTAAATTGGTATGTTATCAAATATATCTTCTTCATTCTGGTCACTTTGGACTCTGAATATCAGGGGAAACTCATTTTAAAAGACTTAAATAGGCTTTCATGAGCCCGCCACACCTGTGTGCTGGGTTCCACAAAAGTTATGCCTTCAGACAATGCTGTGGTCATCTCATTACTGAAGAGAGTAATGAAGGACTTAGGCTGTGATTCAGTCAGTCAGAGGTCATATTAGGAAAACCCCTGAGAGGAACAGAGGAAACTAAAGAAACAGAACAAGTCTGTTCCTGGTGCAGGTGGCTGGATATGAGGTAGAGAGAATGTCCCTTTGGAATGGCAAAAAAACAGAAAGGGAGAGAGAAGATGCTCAATACAAGAAGATGAGGACATGATTTTGATTAGAGCTAACAGCCATTCTTGTTTTTAATTTACTGAGGGTCATTTGATAATACAGTAGACAGTCTACTTGATCCTTCCTTGCACTGTGGATGGGCTACGCTGGTAAGGATTGTTTACCCTTTGTTCCTATGGCTCTTGAGCCTCTAAAACACAGGTTGAATTAATGAAGTAAACAGATATATCTTGAGCATCTTGCAGCAGCCATTGGTGGTCTGGTTTCTGAAATTCCTTTCAGAATGCAGCCCCTTGTGGGATTTGAACTCACTGCATGAGTGTTGAGCAAATGTCTCAGACCATGTGTCCTCTCATTTCCCTTGTATGGAGAAGCGTCTGCTATCAATACCATCAATTGGGCATCTGTCCATGAAGTTCAGTTTCCTGAATGAATGAATGAATGAATGAATGCAAAGACATTGAGATGTGTCCTAGTCAATCCTAATTCAGATCTTGATGAATGAACATTGAGTACAATTTAAGGCATATTGACTTGAAGAGTCCTCTCCAGCCCTGGATGTAAGCCTTGGAGAAACAGATCAGGGAGACAACCTATTTACCTTGATACAGACTCTAATGGCTCACATGTCCAACAGATAGTTTAGCTCAGCTCACTAGAACAGTAAACCAGAGGAAGGTCGGGGTCAAGCCCCAAGGAAATGCCTTTGCTTGCTGTCACTCCAGGAATAACTGTTTGGGGTCCTGTACTCAGAATTCTGAGAATTCAGGCTTCTGAATTTTGCTTATTCCTAGAATCCAGAATACATTTTTGGAAACCAAATCAATAGAAAATATACTTGATTTATGATTACTTGAAGAAATATCTATGAAGTGTTAGAATCCTAAGTATGACTTCTGAGAATAATAGGTGGCAATGGGGTTGCAGTCTGTAAATGACATTTAAAGGGAGAGGTCAGTAGAAGTCTCCATAGGAAACAGATCATAAACCCAAAGTGATCGCTGACAAATTGGTCACTGACAATTAGTACAGGAACTATTTACAAAGGTATGGGCAAGGGTTAAAGGAGTCAAGAAAGAAGGAGTAACCAGGTACTAGCAACCACAAGAAACTGATACCACTGCAACTGAGAAACCAAGCGAAGAAGCTGTTTCCAGAGCCTGGCAGGAGCCATAGTCTTGGAAGAGGGGTACCCTGACAACCTGTAGGAGTGAGGGAATAAATGGCCTCTGTTTTACCTCATGCTAGTAACTTGTAACTGGTAGGAGAGCCTAGTAGTCTAGGGAAAAATAAGGAGAGGCAGAAAGCTGTCAACTCAAAAAATAATGTTCAAATGGGAGGCCAGCTCCAAAGCACCTTTCAAAGGTATCACTTTAGTAACAGCAGCAGACACTGAAAACAAAATCTACCCACCCTCAGGAGTTATCATTTGGGATAGAATTTCAGCTACATAAAATCAACTGTTGGAGATAGTGCTAATTTTGTTTTACAGAAAGGAAATAAGAAAGTGAAACTATGGCTTTTGGTTGTTCCTAAATTACCAAGAATTTACCAAGAGAAAGGTCTTACAATAAGGATGCCTACAAGAGTTGAATCCTGTACAGGATTTTGAAGTGGGATAGGAAAGGAGAAGGGAGGAAGCAGAGGCGAGGTGAGGCGGGGCAGGGTGAGGTGAGGGGCGGCGAGGTGGAATTTGTGGGGGGTTTTCACCCATGAAAACATGGTGGTTATAAAGAGACAAGGTATATCGCTCAGCAACATCCTAGCAGTAAACAAAAGCCACACCCAAATTAAGGCAATTCAAAAGAAAAGTCTTATAAAGGACTGTTTACAAAGGTGTGGGCAAGGCATGGGAAACCACAAGGCACCTCTATACCCAGGGGTAGGGTTACAGCTGCAGGCCAGACGGACCATCAAGAGAGTCAGCCTGATAGGCTCTCACGGGAAGGCATCAGTGAACTTTAGCCTCTCTTACTCTAACCTGCTGCCAACCTTCCCACAGGTCAAATCCAACCAAACCCAGATATAGTCCATTCAGTGGGCATCCTGGGGCATGGGCCAGAGTGGGGAGAAGAGTGAGTATGGATCTGGAAGGACAAACAGAAGATATGCAACAGAAGAGGAAAGTTTCAGACTAGTGTATTGGTTATGACAAGCTCAATAATGAATTATGAAGACCCTGTTCTTAGTGTTTGGAGTAGTACTGGAATAGAGAATATAAATTTCTCTGGACTCCCTGAAACTTTTATCCTTGAAAGAGTTATTAACAAATGACAATTGAATAACAAATTCTGCCACAATTCTGCCATCAAACATACTGCGTAGTGTACCCCATGAGATTCTTTTTTTTTGAGACAAGATCCCCCTGTAGCCCCAGCTGGCTGGCTTCTATCTCACAGAGATCCACCTGCCTCTGTCTTCCAAAGGCATTGCCACCATATATGGCAACAAGATTCTTGAATACAAACATATACCTGATCTTAGGATTATTAATTCTTCAGTTTTCATTTAAAGTTCATGTTTTAAAGACATGCCTATTTTATGTCCACTATGGCAAGGTATTCCTTGGCTCCAGTTGCTCTGCAGGGTACCTGGCACCCACCTTGGGTACCAACCCCACATCATCCCACCTGTCATGCATGCATACTCTCACTGGTCTTTGTAGCATCCCTGGTACCCATAGAAACCAGCTGATGCACAAGCCTGACCTTCCACCTACTAGTCATCCAGCCATCTGAACACTAAGCAGCATGGCTCTTCAGACAAGGAGCAGATCCATTTGGATTAGTTTCCTCTATCTTCAGATTCTTGAAGGCAAAAAAATCTGGGAGCTGGGGAGATGGCTCAGTCAGTAATGTGCTTGCTGTGTAAGCATGAGGACCTGAGTTCAGGTCCCCCCTACATAAAAAGCCAGATGCAGAGATGCATAACTGTAATTCCAGCACGGGGGAGGCAGAGACAGGAAGATCTCTGGGGCTTGCTAGTTTGCCAGTCTAGCTGAATCAGTGAACTCTGGGCTCAGTGGAAGATATGGCCTTTAAAAAGTAGCCTAGAGAGCAACTGAAGGCACCCACATCAACCTCTGGCCTCAACTCATATGCTCATGTGTAGGCACACTTGTACATACATGCATATGAACATATACACGCAAAAGCTGGCCTCAACTTTAGTGGTAACCAAGACATTAGCCTTAACCACCAACTCAGTACAATTGATTTCCCCTTGATAAACATTCTTTGAATGCCACCCTGTACTAATCCTGGACAAGGGCACTGTGCTTAGAAAGAACAAGCTATGTGAAGTAACAGAGAGCGGAGACAATTTTAAGTGACAGAAAATATTAAGAGACTCACAAGAAAGAACATTTTTAAAAACAATCTGAGTTAAAGAGCCATCAAGTGTATTAGAAGAACCAAGTGGATGAGGCTTGGATTTTCACAGCCAAGTTTAACACCCCCATTTGCCTTTTGCCTGCACCTGGGCCAGGGATGCTGCTCTATACATCTGCCGCCTTCCTTCTGTCATCAGCACCACCTCTGAAACCAAGTCTCTTCTTTCCCACTGCTGAACTATTGCAATCACCTTGTTTACCAATTCCAGCTTTGTCATCTATGCTAGGGCCAAATTAATCTTCCCAAACCTCACACTTCTGCTTCTACTTATTCTGCTTGAAAACTTCAATGGCTCTTTGTTATCTATGAGATACATCCTAAATTCCTTCACCTCACTTGAGGGCCACCTTACCCTCCATTCCTAGTTCTACTGTGATACTCCTTCCATGGGCCTTACCTCCTGACCACACGCTAATGGGGCCCCATACGGAGTGCCCTTTAATGCTTTGTTCTTTGGCTTTTCTTCTGCCTGGGTTCTACACCCCACTACCTATCACCCTATTAGGATCCTGCCGCTTCCAAGGCCCTTGCAGCAGTGCTTCCCTATTCTGTCTCTTCCAGCCTCCCCACTACATGGGTCTCCTCCTCTGAAATCACATAGCACTTTGATGCTTACCACAGTCTGCATTTTATTGTAGGAATTTGGTACTTAAAGGATGTCTAACTTTCAGGATTATTGTGGCACTATAATTAAATAAGATTATTTTAATGTGCCTAGACAGTTCATGGCATGCAGTAGAATTTAGTAATTGTACATTGTTATATGTAATTCTATAATGATCATCAGTTATTATATCCGCTATTATAGACACAGTGTGATAGAGTAGTTAAGAACACAACTTTGTAATTTAATTGAAAAACAGCCAACACTTATATTAAGTATTTCCCACATTCCAGGTGCTACACTAAGAGATTTAGAGTGGATTATCTGCTTTATCTCTACAATTACGTCCTATACTCTTCAAAATCCTACTCTTCATGTGTTTTGTCTTAGTTTTGCAGAATGTGCTATGCTAAACATTGTGGTAAGCATGAGGATGCAGCAGAAATCAAGACAGAGTAAATCTTGCCCTTAAGGAGCTAAAAATTTCATAACAAGACATAATGAATAAATGGTACTTTAGAATGCTCAGAAAATTATTTATTTATTATCAGCTTGCCCATTTGGCCATCTGTCT